GCGGAGGGGGCGGGGCCTGGCGCCCGACCGGGCGAAGGGGCGGAGCCCGCAGTGCCCTCCGGAGCCCGGGTTCTGTGACGTCGCACGCCGGGCTCCGGGCTCCGGGCGCGCGCTCCTCCCGGGCCTCGCCTCGGTCCCCTTGCCTTATATCCGGGCTCGCAGACGCATAACGATTACTGAGAGTATTATCTGCTGCGGTGAGGGCTTTGCTTAAGGGATTGAATCTCTTGAAAACGACCACGGAGTAGCGACGTCTCCAATGATTATTTAGTAAATTAATTCCAAAAATACTATAAGCCCAGAGTTGGTGCCAGCCCTGTGCTAGGAGCTGGGCGTCCCACGGAGGAGCCGGAGCCCCTGCCCTTACAGCGCGGACAGGTAAACAGCCGGGAGAGAGATCAGGACAACACAATGGGGAGGATAGAGAGGGCCCACAGCGTGTGGGGTGCGCCCCCCAGGAGGCCCTCGGAGAGACCGTGCGCAGAGGTCCCGGCGGAGAACCCTCAAATGTGAACTGCTGAGTGGGACTGAGCGTGGCCTATTAGCAGGAGGTTCCCGACGCCCATGTGGAGGGAGACAGGGGAGAGGGGAGAGGGGTGGGCCATGGGATCAGATCGCCATCTGCTGTGCCTTGAAGCCTGGTGGGACCTTCAGCTCCTCTAAGTGTGGAGGGACACCACTGGCGGACTCCATGGACATCCGGCTGAGGCTTAGTGTTTCAGCAGCGGAGCAGACAGGGGTGCTGTTCTGGTGTAGGGTGCTGTTGCGGTACAGAGGGATGCAGGGGCACCGTTGGGGTAAAGGGCATTTTGGGGCTGCAGGGTAATGTCGGGGTGCTGTCAGGGTATGGGTGTTATTGGGGTGCAGGAGTGCTATGCCTTGCTTATCTCTAATTGCAATGTTTTGCTATTCCTAAATAAGCCCCTTTGCCAGTAAAATAATTGACTTTTATTTTTAGGGTCAACAGCCCTTCCTGAACTCGCCGCCACGGCCCCGTGCCTCCCATCAGCCTGCTACCGTGGTCAGCAGAGGGTCAGATGAGGTCGGAACTCCTGCGGCTCCTCGCTCCTGGCCTGGGTGGGACAGGCGGCTCCTGTCAAAGCTGGAGGCCTCCCTGGATGAGGTGGCTTTGATCTCCAGCACCAGAGAGGACCGTCCGGCTTGGGCTGGTGCTCCAAGGAGGCCCTGCAGGAGGGTCTCGTGGTGGATCTCGCCCAGGATGCACCCCATTGCACCTTCGGCACCCTCTGGGCAGAGGGAAGCTTTTTGGTCAGCTTGGGCTCCTGAGAGTAAGTGAGGGGTGGTCTTAGCCAAGTCTCTGGGCCTCGGTTTCCCTTTACATTTACCCATTGGCCTCTGGGCTCCTTCAGGCCGAGTCTCAGATGGCCACAGTGGCCATGTGCCCTTCTACCCCACCAGCAGGGCTCCCAAGGTCACCCTCCCTCCACCTGCCCACCTGGCCTCCTGGTCCTGACCCTGTGCCCAGAGCTGGACACACCACCCTGCTATGGGTCTGCAGCTCCAGAGAGGCTTTGCGGGGTGTGGGCACCCAGCCTTTGAGACCCTTCCATCTGGGGTGGGGGTGGGGGCTGAGCTGGGCTGCAGCTCCACGTCCGACAGGCACCCGCAGCGGGTCAGGGAGCTCTGTGGAAGGATGCCCAAGAAAGCTGTCTGCTTCCTCCCTTCTCCCTCCCTGGTGCTCTGGGGAGTTATCTTAGAGGTCAGCGTGGCCCTGGTGGCCCTTGTGTGCCTGGCCCTCCCCCCGCTTGCCATGTGCTGCCCTCGCCTCCGCCTCCAGCAGGTCCTCTGGGGGATTCTCAGGCCACAAACGTAGTCCCCAGGCTTTATCAATGCCATGTACTTGGTGATCCTTGCACACTCAGTCATGTCCCAGACAGTGCCCAGGAGAGTGTGCAAGGGAAGGGGCGGGGGCCGTCCATCAATGTCCCTAGCTGGCCTGGGTGCAAGCACAGGACGGGGAGGGTGCCGTAAGCAGGTGGGGTGCTGACGAGCCTGCCGGCCCTCCAGCTGGGTCGGCCGGGGCTTCATCTCCCAGGCCTTGCAGGAGTAACTGTGGCCCTGGCCAGCCAGTCAGTGGACGCCATCCGCGTAACTCTCGTGGCTGCCGGCCAGGTAGCAGCTACCGAGGTTGGAATGGTGGCAGTTGAAGTACAAGGATGCACAATCCTGCTGGCTGTGGCTGTCACTGGCCTGGCTGAAGACCATGTTCCTGTGGCTCCCTCAGGTCCGAGCCCGGGGAGGGGCAGGGGCGGCAGCTTGCAGGGCCCCTTCTAAGAGGGGAGAGGAAGCATCTGAAAAATGCAAAGGGAAGGGCCTGCAGAAATGACCGACTCAGCCGGCTAAGGTCCATTCCTGACCCCCCCACCCGTACCCCAGGACTCTCCAGCTCACATCT